GCCCCCTTTCCCTCCCTACGAGGTTCTTAGGGGTTACAAAAACGAGTTGCGTGTGTTTGGGAAATAAGTCGGGTCAGGTCGCCTCGTCAAGATGGGGATGGGTGATGGTCAGGGCTTATCTACACTAAGGTCGAACAGGAGTAAAGGGGGGGGGGGGTAGGGCCAGGGAAATTGACGAGAGGAAGGGTCAGTGGGGTCTTCTTTCTTTTTTTTATTTATTTTTTTATTTTTGCAGTGGGGCCTTCTGAGGGGGACATTGAAGGTGAATTGAAAGAATTTGAAAGATGATGAAAGATTTGAGAGAAGAATATGGCGTAGTTAAAACCAAAAAAAAAAAGAAAAAGGAAAAGAAAGGAGTAACTGCGATGGAAAAAAGTAGAAGACAAGGCTATTTTTTTTTTTTTTTGTCCCCCCCCGAAAATAACTTTGGTTATAAGCCAGGATTTTTTTTTATAGGAAAAGATCACTTTATTGCTGAATGAAAATTATTGAGCCAGGAGTTGGACCTAGTGTCCCTCACGCCTTTTTTTTTTTTTTTTCCAGCTTCAGTCGGGGCACCTGCACTGGAGGTGATAAGAGCATCCCCCCAAGGTAGTGTCCCTCACCCCCAATCTTGCATTTACGGCACTGCACATGCTGTTACGTTTTTTTATTTATTTATAATATTTGTCAATATTATTTGTCTTTCAATTTTCAATCGGTTTTCAATTGTGTGGATGTCTTCCACGTGTACTGTTATTCACAATACCTCACTGAAAAGATAGGTGGTCATCTGAACGGGCGAGGGAGGCTTCTCCGACCAAGCCCGAATTCAAGACCATTAATTAAAAAAAAAAAGAACCGTAATTACGTCACAAAAACCGCGCTCTCTATGTCTTTCTCGGCCTCTTTTTTTTTTTTTTGAGAAAAAAAAATCGTTATACAAGCCGGAAAACGCACCCGGCGTCTAATATCAACTGTAGTCTCTTTTCTCTGATCCTGTCTCTTATACACATCTAGATGTGTATAAGAGACAGGTATTAGCCGGGTCTATGACCAACACGGGTGTGA